TTTCCATAGCTTTCTAGAGCCACTTGTGTGAAGGTTGAGTTGTTCTTGAGCGTACTTAGTTTACTCATAATCTACTCTATAAGAGAGTCTCGTTCTTGAGTGTACTTGTGTTATTAGACTCGTTGAGAGATAGTATCTCTCTCGGTTGATTCAAAGGAAGGTCTGTTTCCTTTGAAGGATTCGTTGAGGTTCGTGTGACTCGAACTCTCAAGTTGTAACGGTTTGTTAAGCACCCGTAAGCTTAACGAGTTAGTAGTGTAGCTCGAGAGAGTCTCTCGGGAGGCTGGATTAGCCACAAGTTGTGGTGAACCAGGGTAAAATTCGGTGTGCCTCTTACTCTTCTCTTTACTTCTCTTTTAAATTTTTAATTCCTGCGATTTCTCCGATCAAACGCTATTCACCCCCCCTCTAGCGTTGGTCTTTTATTCTAACACCCAATCTGAGTTGTAACTTGATCTCGGTTTCCCAGTTGATAAAAGAATCTGATTGTGAGGCCCGATTCTCTGCTAATGCTTGCGTGATACAGGACCGAAAGTTGAAGACTTTGATTGGTGTGGGTGAACAGGATGGTGGACTTTACTATTTCAGACCGATGGAGGACAAAGTGGCGTTGAATGCAAAACGGGAGAACAACTTTGATCTATGGCACAAGCGTCTCGGACATCCTTCACCTCGAGTCTTATATTTAGTTCCTGTAGTTGGTTCCATTAAAGATAGTAGTTTACAGAATAATTGTTGTGATATTTGTATACGTGCCAAAGACTCACGTACCAGTTTTCCTATAAGTTATCATCAATCTACTACAATCTTTGATATGATACATGTTGATTTATGGGGGCTTTATCGCACACCTAGTCTGAATGGATCCACAATGTTTTTGACCATCGTTGATGATTTTTCCCGTGGTGTTTGGGTATACTTGACCAAAACAAAGAGTGTTGTGCCAGCAATTTTTCGTGAATTTTGTGCCATGGTTGCAAGACAGTATGGGACACAGATTAAATGTGTACGAAGTGATAATGGGACCGAGTTTGAGTGTTTGAATGCATTCTTCAGAGAACAAGGAATCCTTCATGAAACCTCATGTATCGACACTCCACAACCAAACGGACGAGTTGAGCAGAAGCATCGCCACATTCTCAATGTCGCTCGCGCCATGAGATTTCAATCTGGACTGCCAAATGAATTTTGGGGCGATTGCATCCAAAACGCCGCCTACCTGATTAATCGAACACCGTCCTCTCTCCTAGGGGGGGTTTCACCATACTCGAAATTGCATGGGAACCCACCTCACCTATCTCACATTCGTATGTTTGGATGCAGATGCTATGTTCGAAGACGAGAGAGCGACAAATTCGCTCCACGAAGCACACCGGGTATCTTTGTCGGATATCCACATGGCAAGAAGGGATGGAGAATTTATTGCCCCGACACGGGGAAAATAATTGTTTCCCGTGATGTTATTTTTTTGGAAAATATTTTTCCATATCTAACCCTTTCAGATAAAGAGACCGATCAACCAATTCTAGTGTCGGACGGCCCATTACCAATGGAGGAGGATCTGATCACACGGCCCCCAAGACGACCTGGTGCTGCAGCACCTACGTCCTTCGACGCTGCCACCGACAACCCAGCGTCGGAGCCCCTTCCGGCAACCGAAGACGCCACACCCGTAGCAGCGGGCGACATGACGTCGTCTAGCGCTGCCACTGGAGGCAGCACCAGTACTGCACTGACGGACCATCTACCCGACGAGGCAGCAACCACTATCGACGAGGCAGCACCCACACCAGATCCTATAGTTGGTCGTGGGCAACGAGCACACATACCGAACACCCGTCTGAAGGATTATGTCACATATACTACCTTCCAAACGCTCAGCAAGTATCCGCTCAGTGCGTTCATCAATTATGACAAATTTACTCCTTCACACAAGTGCTATCTCACAGCCATCGACTCCGAGGTCGAGCCCAGAAATTTTCGTGAAGCAATGCGATCCGAAGCGTGGCGCAAGGCAATGCGGGCGGAAATTGATGCGTTACAGAGTAACGGGACTTGGACTCTAGTCAGTGCCCCTCCTCACAAGAAGCCTTTGGGGAGCAAATGGGTATACAAAATCAAACGCAAGGCCGACGGTAGTATCGAACTGTACAAGGCACGACTGGTGATCTTCGGTAATCATCAGGTTGAAGGGTTGGATTATAATGAAACATTTGCTCCTGTTGTGAAACTCACCACCGTAAGAACCTTATTAGCCGTGGCTGCAGCTAAATCATGGGAGCTTCATCAGATGGATGTTCACAACGCGTTTCTTCATGGTGATCTTAATGATGAAGTCTTTATGCGCCTGCCTCCCGGATTCACTCCTCCTCGTCCAAGTCTTGTTTGCAAACTTCAGAAATCTTTATATGGATTAAGGCAAGCCCCCAGATGTTGGTTTGCCAAACTCTCTCATGCCTTAAAGAAATATGGTTTTGTTCAGTCTATCTCCGATTATTCTCTTTTAACGCTATGACAGAGGGGGGTGTCCTACATGTTCTTGTCTATGTGGATGACCTTGTGATCGCCGGTAGTGACTCTCATCAAGTTGAAAAGTTTAAGTCCTACTTGTCCCAATGTTTTCACATGAAGGATTTGGGGCGCCTTAAATATTTCTTGGGCATCGAAGTCGCGCGCACTCCGGCAGGCATTTTCTTGTGTCAAAGAAAGTATGCATTGGATATTATCTCTGAAGTTGGCTTACTCGGGGCAAGCCCTCTAGGCACCCCGCTTGAGCCAAACCATCGCTTGGCGCTTACTACCACACCATTACTTCCTGACCCTGAGAAATATAGACGCCTCGTTGGTCGCCTTGTTTATTTGTCGGTCACTCGACCGGAGCTGTCCTATGCGGTTCATACACTGGCCCAATTTCTGCAAGAGCCTCGTGAGGAGCAATGGAAGGCTGCAATGGGGTGGTTCGATACTTGAAAGGGCAACCCGGTCAAGGGATCTTCTTATCAGCCAGCAATACCTTGCAGCTAACGGGATGGTGTGATTCAGACTGGGCTGCCTGTCCTTTGACAAGGAGATCCCTCACTGGTTGGTTTGTCCAACTTGGCAAATCTCCTGTCTCCTGAAAAACAAAGAAACAAACGACCGTGGCCCGATCGTCTGCAGAAGCTGAGTACAGAGCTCTAGCCGCGGTCACTTGTGAGTTAAAGTGGCTCAAGAGTCTACTTGGTTCTCTTGGGATTGAACATTCGAAGCCTATGACCATAAAGTGTGACAGTACTGCGGCATTACATATCGCAGCCAATCCTGTTTTCCATGAACGTACGAAGCACATCGAAGTCGATTGCCACTTTGCTCGAGACGAGCTACTGCGAGGAGTCATCCACACAGATCATGTTTCCACTACACATCAGCTAGCTGATATTCATACAAAGGCACTGGGCAAAGCACGACTTGAATTCTTGATTCCCAAGTTGGGCATTTCATTACTACATGCTCCAACTTGAGGGGGGTGTTAGAGAAGGAAAAGGAATATTAGTCTTTGATTTGTATTAGACTTGTATATGGTAGCTTCCTTTTATTTAGCATTCCTAATCCTATTAGGAATACCTTGCTGTATATATATACACCCCATTGTGTTGTACAGAATCAAGAGAGAATACAATAATTTTTCAGCCCAGAAACACTACTGTGTAACATATATATATATATATATATATATATATATATATATATATATATATATATATATATATATATATATATATATATATATATATATATATATATATATATATTTGCCTAAAAAATCACCCGAGGGTGTGGCAGGCTCAGGGAAGCTCTGCCTTATTTATAAATAAAAGAAAGACGATACAAAGGGAGGGGGCGGGCTCAACCCCAACATAAGCCCGACTAAAACCAAAAGATATTTGCAATCCTCCTCAAATCTAAAACCAAACAGGGCCTACGTCAAATCAACATAAGAAGTTTGCCAACAAAAAATCAAATAAAAAGAAAACAAAGAATAACAAGATCAGATCTTCTTTTTTCCGCTATTGTTTTTGTTAAACTTCTTCTTTTTCTTCTTTCCTTTCACACCTCCTTTGGGATTGAAATCATCCAACAAATGAATAGCATCAAGCTCCATTTCAGCCTCTAGAGTGTAAGAGTCTTCATCATCAACAGGCAACTCAATTTTGTCATGTGCCATTTCAGAAACCTCAACTCCCCCGTCCTTTTGCCTCTTATGATCTTCTCCATTCATCCCAAAAGACATATCAATGAGGCTGATTTGTGGGGAGCGTTCATAAATTAGCTTCAAGTCTAAAAGGCCCAAGGGTTTGGTGGTAACCGACTTTGTTTGAACTGCGTCCTTATGGAATGCCAATGCTTTCAATTCCTTAAGAGACTTACCTTGTTGGAGACCTCCACTGTTTGCCTTTTGCTCTGTTTCCATTGTCAACTCTTTCAATTCCTTGACAGATTTCCCTTGCTTCAAAACTGGAATAGAGGGCTGGAAAGGTAATGCATGAATGTTTAAAGCTCTGGCCGTGTGGTTCAGTGGAGGCTCATTTGAGCAATTAGCATTAAGACCCTGCTTACATTCATCAAAAGGGGCAGAAACTGCCTGCTTAGAAGGAGCTGGAGTTGCAGTAAGTAGGGGTTTTTGCAAAGCATCTTGATCATCAATTGGAAAGGATTGAGTAGCATTGACACCATGTGAAAAAAGCTCTAAATTTGGAGAAGACTGAGTTGAATTCAATGCCAACGACCCCTCCTTGGCTGCTAATGTTGAAACCGGTTGGATGGCTATAACACCACTACTAAAAGAGAGGTTACTGTGAGTCCTTCCAATGTCAGAATCAAACAGAGATTTAGAAATGGATGAAGGGATAAAAAGAGGTTGCTCCTCACCTATAGATTTATCCTTTCAGTTCTCAAGAGTATGACCAGCCTTATTAAGGTGAGCCAAGAATAGTCTAAATCCATGTATGCAAATATCCTCAGGTACGAAAATGGTAGTATAGCCAAACAGGTGTTCCTCAACAATTTTAACAAAAAAACCAGATGCATTCGAATCTAGAGAGAAACTAAAATTTCTACTACCCTCCCTAAGGCTGTGATTCCAATTGGTTACCACCGGATTAAGTAGAATATATTCAAAGCAGGAACTTAACCAACGAAGAATTCTAAGATTTGTCCAGAAACGGAAGGTTTTCCATCGTCTTCCCTCAGAAATTTGACATAGATTATTAAAGGCTGAAAATCTGAACTCAAACCTTTTCGACTGGATTCCAAAGGTGAAATCGACGATTGTGCAGCTGGAACACCCATCTATGTCCTCCTTTCGTTTCTGCGAGTCTCTTCTTCGAGTATTCCTCACAAATGTTGGTCTACCTTGTATTCTTCCTTCTCCGGCGACCTTGAAATTGGATGTGAAACCCCAGCGACGGTGGTGAGATCTAGACCAGGCGGCGGAGCTTTCTCTCTCTATGTCTAAACCCATCTCCTCCCATCATATATATATACTAGTTGTCTACCCCGTGCTTCGCACGGGCTGGGGATTTATCCGCGTGATTGTTGTATGCAGATTAGTTATTGCGTGTAATGCGGAAGAAATTTTGTATGGGTTGTAGAATTTCTTTTGGAATCATAATTCAATAATGAGGAATTATAAATGATTTGCACACAATATCGATTCGTAATAATATTCAAAACGTATTACGCTTAGTATGCTCCGTGGGTTTTAGTTATCACGTTTTTGGTTGTGTTTTTAAGAAAATAAAGAATAGTAAAGTTCCTAAAAATGCCATTAAAATGTTTAAAAATATAATAGGAGTAAATTAAAGGACGTCTAAAAATAGGATTGTTACTCTTAAGAGGTTAGACCAAGTCCGGGTTGAGGCAAATATGAACAAAAGTTTTTCTTGATGAATAAGTCAAATATTGTACTATGACAAACAGCCGTAACAGGCTTGGTTGTATTAAAAGAGAACATAAGCTAAAGAACAAAGTAAAACTAAATCCGTTTTTGAAGTGAATAAAGTTGATATATTATTAGTATTTGATTTCCTGCCCAATTGGGCATTAAAGAAAGCATTGTTAACACAAACCAAGCTAGGTGCCATCATTTTTTTTGGTTATGAGTGTGCATCAAGGATGTATTGGATAAATAAATCTCCATATCCAGTGGGTTTCATCTCCATTAGCATAGTTGTCGATACTTGAATAGTGTTCAAGCAGGTGCTTTTATAATAGAGCAGAGACATATAAAGCCTACATTAATTAAAATAAATCAGAAGGTTGGGAAAATAGATTTTCAAGTAATGAGTGAAAAAACTTATATATGAGGTGAATATAATAAATCTGTGTTAATTACCTAACTTCAGTATTCAGACCAAGACACCAAAGAATGGGTTGGAGCTTCTTAACCGCCTAGCGACATGTGCATTTATAATAGTAAATTTAAGCCTCGTAATTTAGATTGACCTATGCTTTAGTTTATAGAGTTACCTCCAATTTCAATACTCCGTATGCAAACTACATGCATGGAATAAATATAAGCCTACTTCAAGAAACTCAATCCCAAAAGATTAAAAATAACATTACTTCATAGTTTTGTCAGATTGGTCCAATGATTATAGAGGATCAGTAAAAACTCAAAGTATATCTCCAAAAACATATTAAATAGTACGTAATGATAAACAAACTGGATTCAAAATATATTCTCCCTCATTTTCTTTTCTTTTCCATTTTATGTTCATTGAACCAAACATAGTTTTAGCAATTCGAGATAGAAATAGAGGAGGTGCTAACCTGTGCGAATGTTGTCCCCGCATAGGCATTGTCCTCATGTGGTGCTAACCATTAGAAATGTAAAAATTAAAAGTTGAATGAATGAATGAATGAAATCAAAACCATATGTGGGAGGACATTGTGTTATGGCAAGGAATCTTCTTAAACGAATGATTTCCAATGAATTGAATCAAAACATTAGAGCACAAAAAAATCAAATGTGCTAGAGAACTTAAAGCGTACCATATCCCTCATTTCCTATAAAGTTGATAAGAGAGTTTGAGTGGGCAATCCTGGAAAGAATAAGAGCTTGAAGATGGCATGGCTGTAGTCCTGCACCCTCTATCTCGCTGAGGCAATTCATCGAACACATATTGAGCACCACTGCGCAGTCTAGATGCTAGAACAATAAAAGTATAAATGATTTTTGGAACTGTTCTGAATCATATACGGAGTAACAATTTAAGTACTAAATAAAATTATAACTATAAATTTGAATAAAGATGGAACAAAGAGAGAGAAGAAAAAGGTTTGGGATTTACTTGCCGCCACGTTGAAGGAAGAAAACTTGGAGTTCTATACTTGTACTCGTCGCAGGTAGTGGTATTGCCAGGCCAGTCCCCTCAATCGCCTCTATGAGCCTCAACCTTTTTCTTCGTTTGTGAGAGAGGCAATGTGTAAAATGATACTGGAGTCTGAGAACGGCAGAACCATTGGCGATATTAGTCGTGAAACTGGCGACACCCTGAGACCTATAGGGCAAAATCGAGCTTGTGTGGTGCTTAGAAAGAGGGAAATCTAAGATGACATTTAAGAGATGGGAGCATAGATACATAGAACGGAAGAGAAATGAATCGTTCTGATGGAGCGTCCGTTAAAAACCACCGATGCTCCACATCATAAGCCATGTCACCTGCCAAGTGTCATCCCCACAACTAATTAACCCTACTTTATATATATATATATATATATATATATATATATATATATGATATATGATATATATATGATATGATATGATATATGATATATATATATATATATATATATATATATATATATATAGATTTTGGTTCTAGTGAGAATGCAATCTTAGGAGAGAAATGAGAATGAATCTGGTGCTTTACATTGTGAGATCTAAAGGTTAAGATTCCATCAAAATTAGATGCACCAAAATAGTTGAAAATGCATCATGTCGAAATGCACCACAAACCTTCGAAAATGTACTATCTCAAAATCTGAGCGCAAGATGCAATCTGAGCCGCACGATGCATTAGATCCGATGGCTAGATTTTATTCTCATTTCCCTCCACAAGGTGCATTCTCACGCGAACCGGCCCTATATATATATATATATATATATATATATATATATATATATATATATATATATATATATATATATATATATATATATATATATATATATATATATATATATATATATATATATATATATATATATATATGGGATTGACTCTAGTCAGATGACATGTTTCGGTCAGATGACACTTTCGATCAGATGACAACGAATGCTTATTCTGAATCAATGTAGCGCTCATTCTTAAACAACGTAGAATTCATTCTCACACAACTGTTCATCACAATGTAGTGTTCATTCATAGCCAGCGAGACGCCAACATCGGGTTCATTTTGAATCCACGTAGTGGTCATTCTAAGGCATCGTAGGGTTGACTTTCATACATTTGTTCAGTATAAACGTAGTACTCATTCCGAAACAACCTAGTACTCATTCACAGTCTGCTCAGTATAGTGTTCATTCTGAAATAAGGTGGTGCTCATTCTCAAACAAGGTGGTGCTCATTCTGAAACATGTCATCTGACCAAAAGTGTCATCTGACCGAAACATGTCATCTGACTAGAGTCAATCCCATATATATATATATGTG